GCTATATTTTTTTACACACTTAACATATTTATTTAAGGATAAAGTTAACACATAAAATAACTTTAAAAACTAGTAAGCACTATAAGGCTTTATTTTTATTTAGTAAAAAGAATTAAAATAAAAAGTAACATAAAAATAATAAAATAAGCAGGACTAATAAGCTATTTAGTATAAAAAAAATAGATGTTAGAGACGCTTTCTAGTAAAAGAATGCACACCTTATAAATAAACTTTTACTAACATAGTTATGTAAGCAGAGCAGTAAGGACGCTGCTAAGAAGGAGGGGCAGCGTGTTACAGTCTATAGTTAGACTAGCGTAACTCCACCAGCAGTGCTCCACAATCTAGCTAGATTAGGACAGGGCTTGCTTAAAGACTAGTTAGAGGACACAGAGGCAGCGCAGCTGCCTAACATTATAGAAGAATGTGTTGTTTAATAAGAAAGCAGGCTATAAGTTTAAGAAGCTAAAGAGAGCTTAAGAAGCTCTTCTTAGTAAGCTTTTATAGACTCTTTTAACTCCCCTTAGCACTCTAGCATATGTATATAGTTCCTACATTAAACAACCTTTAGAAGGTGTGTTTAATGTTTAGTTTATTTTTTATATAAACTAAGTAGCATTTAGCTTTATAAAAAGCTGTAATACTATTTATATATTTTACACTATATATACTTTTAACCTTGTCTAAAAGGACTGTTTAACCTAGCCTCTTTACTGCTGCATTAAGGGTAAACTATAATCTAGTCTCCCTATCCTTCTCTATTAGCCTAATAGCCTGTACGTAGGACTGTACACCCTACTAGATTAGCCCCTACTACTTGTCCTACTTCCCCCCTAGGAATACCAGCAGACTCAAGTGCTTCCCAAAGCAAGGATTGTAACACTAGCCTAGGCCACTCTTTATATGTAAAGGTAGTTGTTAGGCTATGTCCTGCCCCTTATCCTACTGTAATTACTGCTAATATATTATGTTTAACTTTTTTATTAGAAAGAGGATAAGAGTTAATATTTTATAAGTTATTATTAAACTTATTTTTTTTTTTTTTATAAATTTAATGTTCTTAATTGCAGTAGTTAGCTGCTTTACATTTATAATCTTTAACTAAGTAATATAACATTAGGTAGTCTTTTTTTCTTACTACTTTTTACTAGAAGTAGTAGAACCTGTAGTTGTCTTATTCTTTACACGCTGCCTATCTCTCCTGTTTGTGTAGGGGAGCTGTTTAACAGGTGTAACAGTTTATAGTTTTGCAGGCTAAGGCTGTTCTTTACTATAGGCATCTGTTATAGTTCTTTTCTTATGTAAGCTACTAGCCTATTCTATGCTTATTATTTTAATGCTTAATGTAATACTGTTATGTGTATTAATACTAAGGGTATAGACAGTTATTAGGTCTATGTAATGTGTTAAAAGAACTTTCTTAAGTCTACTAAAGGTATTCCTGCGTTCTTACTATCTAAATAGGGTGTTCTTTTTATTAGTAATTATTAGTGCTATAGTTTTTATTTCTATAAAGTGCACACTAACTATAGCTTTATTACATTACTAAAGCCTTTCTACTAATTACAAGGCTTAGAAGCAGCGTCTTAGGCTTTCTAGGTACTAGCTTTAGGACTTTAAACCTAGCAGGTCTACTTAATCTTTTTAGTTTCTAGTCTTAGATCTTTATAAAAAAACTACTATTATTTTTTTTATTTATAATATTATATTTAACCTTAGCTATGCGCCTTATAATGTTAAATGTAAGGTAGTTATTGCTAATATTTATCTAGTAAAGCATAACTATGTAATAACTTAGGTAGTTATGTTATAGACTGCATTTTTAGCATTTACATTTTTAAAACTATTAAAAAAGCTCTCTTACTAAAGTGCTAAGAGTTTAGTTTTAAAAAAGAAACTGTTTTTCTTTTTTTTAAATATTTATAATATATCTTTAGATCTAAGTCTTTTCTTTATATCTCTTAAAAATTATAAAGTCTTATAATATTATATTAAAGCTACTAAAGTTTTAAATAACTACTTCTTAGTACACTTTAGAATAGTTATTTAAAAAGTAGTTGCCTTTATATTACTAGTAAAGTCTATTGTTTAACTTTTCTAATATTTCTTTATCTATAAGGCTGTATTTAGTAGTAATAGCTTTTATTATTATAGTAGTATTTTTATTCTCCTTCTTTTAGAAGTCTAGGTAGTTTTAGTAGAAATATTTTACTTTTTTATAGTTTAAGTAGGCCTTATTCTTTAACTACTTTTATTATTCCTTTATTAAAGGCAGCCTATTACATTCTAAAACTTAGCTCTTTTTAGAAAGAGAGCTTTATGTATGCTTTATATAACTAAGGTCTATTAGTTTTTTATTATATTATAAAAGCTTTTTTTTTTTAGGAATAAACTTTAGTTTTTAAGAAGTTTCTTTTTATTTTTTTTCTCTTTTACACTTCTTATAGTAGTTGTTATAGGTTATTACTTATGTAATAAAATTTTTTAAAGTAGTTAGCTTATTACTATGCATAAATTTATTCTTTACTATTTTACTTAGCCTATTATAGAACATGCAGCAGAGAGCTTTCTAGTCTGTCTATCTACAGATAGCTAGTTGCTCTTTAAAGTGTGCTGTATAATTTTAAACTAAGTTGTTTTCTTATTTTATAGTGTTTAGCTTATTAGCTGTAATTTTTTTTTATCTAAAGTTTTATAAATAGCTATTAAGGCTTTTTTAAAGTTTTTAATACTACTAAATATTTTTTTAGTTTTAGAGGTAAATGCTTTACTATTTACTCTAAAGTTTATCTAGTTATCTACATAAGGTTAAAACTAAATTATAAAGAGGCCTTTTAAGTGTAGTCTTATTTAAGATATTATTTCTACATTAGTCTAAAATGCTTTTTTATTATATTATATATAAAGGTAACATCTTATAAAGAATAGTTAAAAGTCCTTTAATAATCTTTTAAAAAGCTTTAAAAGGGCTAGTTTTTAAGTTTTTTTTTAGCTATAATACTTACCTTTTTTATTAAAATGTTCTAAATTTTTGCTAGCTCTACTTATAATTTATATATTTAGTAGGCTTAGTTAGTAGCTTTTTAAAAGCTTAATAGTTTAAAAGAGTTTTATAATTTTATTACTTTTTATTAGAAGTTAGTAATTTTTTACTTAAGTTTTTTAAGCTTACTAACCTTATTACTAATTTACTAAAGTTTTTTAATATTATCTTAAATTAAGTTAATCTGTTCTGCTAGGACAGCTTTACTTTAGGTAGAAACTTTTATAGATCTTAATAGCACAGCATAGGCTATGTTAGAATCTAAATTATGTTATAAAGTAGCTATACTTTTTAAAAAAGGTAGTGTTTAATGTTATAATTTTTACTTTAAAAAGCACTTAGGTCTAATAGTATTTCTAGGGGATAATAGGACAGATAGAAGAGGCTAATCTAGTAGGGTGTACAGTCCTACGTACAGGCTATTAGGCTAATAGAGGATGATATAGAGTGACTAGATTATAGTTTGCCCTATGTGCAGCAGTAGGAAGGCTAGGGTTAAACAGTCCTAGTAGACAAAGTTAGAGGTATATATAGTGTAAGATATATAAATAGTATTATAGCTCTTTAAAAAGCTAAATGCTACTTAGTCTATGTAAAGAATAAACTAAACATTAAACACACCTTCTAAAAGTTGTTTAATGTAGGAACTATATATATATGCTAGGGCGCTAAGGGGAGCTAGCAGGAGTTTATAGGAGCTTGCTAAGAAAACTTCTGTAGGCTCCCTTAAGCTCCCTTAAGCTCCCTTAAGCTCACAGCTAAACTCGCGGCCTGTCTCCCTATTAGACAACGCATTCTTCCATCATTTCAGGCAGGTACGCTGCCTCCGTGTCCTCCGACTGGTCTTTAAGCGAGCCCTGTCCTGATCCAGCTAGATTGTGGAGCACTGCCGGTGGAGTTACGCTAGTCCAACCGTAGACCGTAACACTTAGAGCTTGCCCTGTACTACAACAACATTTTAGACAACCTTATTATAGCAAAAGATAATAGTCCCTTGTATAGAGAACCTCTAGATTAGTAGCTCTAGGTTAGTTAGCGCAACTATTCTGTACTCTTTAAGATAGCACTTAATTTTCTATGTATACCCTCTATAAGCTGCAACTGCAAGAGAGCCTTTAGTAGGGGGAAAAAAATAGTTACTTATAACTATAATTATTTTTTAGGCTTTATAATTAAAGCTTTATAACTCTAGAAAAACTAGCTATATTATAAAGTTATTTTTAGTAAATTAAATAACCTTATATGCTATATTAAAAGTAAAAGGGACTTTACTACTCTAAAAGCTTTAACAGTTACATTATAACTTTTAGTAAAAAGTTAAGAAGTATAAGTAGCTTTAATTAAACTATAACTTAATTATATTAACCCCTACTGTTAGGTGAAGCAAACAAAAGTATATAATAAGTAAGACGGAACTTGTCTAGAAAGCCTGAGTTGAATCGTACTACTTCCTGATGGAAACGCTGGTAGGGATGAAGTTGACGTAGTGGTAGTATTCTCCGGGTGCGGCTGAACTTCCGCAAGAATGAGTTAGCCCACAGAAGCATGGTATGAGGTTGACCTTCAGTTACTTGTCACAGCCTCTCGCATCTCTGCCGGCAAATTCACCTAACAGGGCAACTATAGATGGAAGAGACTTAGAGTCTAATTGCCTATGTTTTAGAATATGGGATCCGATTCCAGTTTTGCGAGTAGGACGGAAATAGGCGGTATCTTCGCCGAAACCGGTTACTCTACAGGACCTGTTCATGGTACTGGGGTTTTGCATCACAGAATGGCGCGGTGAGCTTCATTTGTCTGTTTTGTTCTGGGATGAGGCACGGTCGTGCTTTGGACATTCGATCTCATACAACGAAAGTAAACAACTACTTGAATTGATATCATCGACATGCAAAAAAGCGTGGTGGCCCTTTTGCATTCCTATCCTTCTATAAAACGTAAATTATAGTTCTATCTCTCACATGCGGCCAAGTGGGCTCATTTGCCCGGGGATACTTGTAAGCCCTGAAAGGTTAGAAACCGCAGCTACGAAAGTTTGAGTCCATGAACTTACATCCATCGACTGGCTCATTAACCGAGCTCGTAACAGCACACTTATTTGCATCGGTGAATGCTTGGCTCTTAAGCGTCTTGCAAGTCGCACCGAAGCAGCTTCCATCCATAGCCTTTTGAAGCGCATCACCCTTCCAGCCGAAGACGTAGTCACCATGCTGGCCATACCCGGTACTACAAGTGCCTTTGTGTCAGCAAAAAGAAAGATTGAAGTTGGGATAGGATGACGTACTTGTCACCTTGGCTGAAAACAAACGGCTGCGAGCCATCGGCAGGCCACAAAGACTTATCATTGAAAGTGGTAGTGTCCCAGATAACCTCGAACATTAGCTGGGGAAGCTTGACTGGGTGCGTTGTTGGACAAGCACCGCTGTTCTCGAAGGTTCCTGTCGCGGGGTATGAAACGTGACTTGTATGGTCTGGAGAATCCAGGTTCTTGCCGTCCCAACAACTGCAGGTTATACATGTGAGCAATTCAAGATCATGATTGCCGTGAGGGACGGTCAAAACCTACGTCGGAAATCTGATAGTTGTGCGAATACCACCAGCGCAGGCTTTTTTTGGTAAATCTACGGTATCCACAGTTTTGTCTGAGCAAGGAGCCCCATTATCTCCTCCAAAGTTCTTGGCGCTGTAGCACCGGAAGCAGATTGCATTCCACTTGGTAACACCACCATTAGCTCTTTGCGAAGCGTCCCCAGCGAGCATGCGGAAGCCCTGGCGCCAGCATAAGTACAGGATCGAGTGGCTAGAAAGCCAGAAGAAAGAATTGAACCTACTGGCTTGAAAGCTGTGACCTTTGAGTTGTCATATGCGGAGGTATAGTACACGGTCATCCCACCAGTTTCGCCGGTCAGCCCGCGGTTAGGAATCTGTGGGACTCGCTTAAATGTTCCATTGCGAGCCTTGAAGTACATATTTGCGGTCCAGTAATTAGAAAGGTCTTCGCTGAAGCTGCAAGTTGTGCAGTTTGCAATTTGCGAAACGTCAGTCTCGGGAATGAAGGCATTGAAAGCATTCTTCTAAGGTTAGCTCGTTCGAATACCAAGGAGAATTCACATACTCCTCCTACGACCTAGATAAAAGTTAGCAGGTAGTCAACGACCCAGTTCTCAAGTGTTGTACCTGATGCACGTGTGGAGACGGATTGACTGATGGATTGACGAGGCTTGAGTGCTACGAATTAGCTTCAAGAGCGCTACGCGTTCTTCAAGGCTGCTCACGGGTCAAGACGTTCGACAGTGATCTGGGAACATCCAAACCGAAGTACTGCATTTGCGTGCGTGCCCTGGGTAAGGAGCGCTATTGTGGCGACTGTATTTAACAACATCTCGAATGACTAAATGCTGGTGTCTCTGAGACACTGACGAGAGTAGACGATAAGATGGTGAAGACAAGGCAGGAGACAGAACGCGATTGAATCAGCATTAAAAAATATAGTTCAGTGGGGTTGTACTTCAAAGCCGTAGATGGCAGCCGGGTGAATGGTAGTGTATTGGACAACTGCCGAGAGTCCGAGAGTTGATGTTCTGGCCAATCATAGCCTTCGATAGTCTTTCTGCCACAAGGGTTGATTAACACGATATTAACTCAGTCACAAATACTCATCGAAAGTTTGATTCTAATAAGCTTCCACGCATTTCCCCACTGGCGATCAATCTTGAGCCGAGACTTCCAATAGTATCGAGCTCTCATAGTATAATGTTCGTGACCAATAATCTCTGTGTCCGTTATGGTTCATTCTCACCCTAGCTAGACCTGCCTCTGTAGTACACCTCAGAGAGATCAAGCCAGCAAGCATTTTTTCTAAAACATATTCTTCTTGGTATTTTGAAAGAAACCCTCCAAGATCCACCTACCATCTTTCACCTGGAACTTACACTATGTCTTATAGTAGATTCCATGTAATCCGCACAAATATACGGTACTTTACCGCACCCTCCTCCATGCCATCGAAAGGAATACCTTCGAACGTCATAGATAGATTCTGTCAATCGAATTCAATCCCGGGTTTCCCGCCCTTGCCGATGCGCTCCAGGGGTCTCCTGAGTTACTATCCACTAGTATTTACCATCCTCTTTCTTTCATCCGGTATTCTCACGCTGTTGAGTTCGGACTACCCGGTCGGGCATAGAACCAACGACGGTACCTCCCCACTTCCAGCCAGGCACGAGAATTGGTATATCACACATCAGCGATGATGAGCCCTGTGACCAGAAGAGCTAGTTATAAATATTAATGTCCAAGTCTCAGTTACGGCTTACTTTAATATATTCCGTTTGGTAGTCTTCTGGCCCCTGCGCCGTTCTATTGTTTCGTTTCAATTTTTAGCTCAGCTTTGCTGAAATCACCTAGATTATATAAATTTTCTAGTTCGTAGACCGCAGCATTGGTGATATCCTTCAATTCTTCTTAGACCTTGCTAATTTAGCCTTCAAGTCTCACTCCGGTGAATGAACTTCCACGATTTCATGACCAGGCCTTCGTCACCGCATCCACCTTCCTTCTGTTTTTAGCTATAGCTGTCGATAGTAGAAGCGGTGGTGGTGGGTGAGGCGGGCGCTTAAGACCAGTAACAATGGTTTTGGTTTTTTCAATCACTTTTACCCGTCTGACTGATCAGTCCAAATCAATGATTTGGATGGTTGCATTATAATGTATTAGTGTCCTATAGGCCAGTACTAAATCATATGAAACGTTTTGGAGAGACTATGTGTATACTTTCTATGCAAATTTATCTTCTGGACGTCCCTATGGCGCCCATGATTCGGATCGGCTCCCCCACAGTCTTCATCGCAGGGGTAATTCTTCTCTCCTTTCCACTACATCGTCTTACGCGGACGTGGTTTCCGGAATACAGTACACTCTTCGATATGCCCGGCTTAGCATATATAACTTGGGTAAGAGGTATCGTATTTTCCCGGCCATTACAACCGCACCTATCCTTTCCACCTACTTCGAAGTCAATGAACGATTAAGGATGGCTTCAAATCCGCCCATGGCAAAAATGAGGGTGATCAAATTCAACCGTAGGATCTCATCAGGAGCCACATTGAGTATAGTGGCCAAGAAGAATCTACTTCCCTCATCTTGAAGGGCTAGTTGAGAGCGTTATCTGTGGATGCAGGTACTGCTTCGGGGCCTTGGAATTTGCCTAGTATAGGATTAAAGTGCAGCTGCGCTAGGCTCCTGAGTGTGATGAATAGGCCGTTTTCTAAGACAGTGAGCGTACTCTTAGGAGCGCATAAACTATGAAGGACTGAGTTAATTGTTAAAGGAGCAACACGATGCTAAGTAGGCAGCAAATAACTATCGCAGGTAACGAGTAGTTATAGCAGGCAGCGGTTGTATTTGTAAACATCCGACTACTACTTTTTCCGCCACTAAGTTGACAGGGGTTCGTCTTTCTAAAAACTTGAGCAGGCTTGGAATTGAAGGAACATACCGACCGGTGGAGGAGTTCATATCCTAACTGTTAGCCACAGCATAGTGCAAATCCGCTGTCTGCTGGCAACGGGCATAGTAACTCTAATTCTCTGCTAGGTATTTTTACAATAGGTAAGAATATCAGTAAACTGTAAGATGACGTGAATAATAAATAGATGAAGACCTCGAGCGGCAAGATTCTCCGGGTACTTCTTCCGCAAGGTGACGCGACGCGTGCTTATCTTATCTTCGCGTCTCTGACATCATTGACCCCGGCAAGGACGTAAACATCACTCTTCGCTCATCCTTCCTCATCATCAATTCTCATCCGACGCTCTATTCGCGCACTACATCACTATACACCTTCCAACTCCTAAACAATACCACAACATGCCCGTCATCCTCTTAGTTGGCGCCACCCGCGGCCTCGGGGCCAGCCTCGCCAAAGCCTATGCATCCGTCCCCGACAACTACGTTCTCGCAACGGCACGAAACACCACCACTCCCGCAAACAGTACGCCTCTCCTCCCCCTCTACAAATTCCTCTTCAATCTTTTCTTTCCCTGTTCTCTATGGTACTTCTAAAGAAAACGATGAAAAGCTCACGAAGCGTTAGCAAAGAACGTAATCTACATTCCCTCGATCGATATCTCATCCCCCGAAGCCCGCACTAACCTCCTGAACTTCCTACACTCCCGGTCGATATCTCACATCGACATGGTCATAATAACAGCCGGATACTTTGCCACCGAATCCCTCGAATCGCCGTCATTCTCTGCACAAGAGAAAATGTACAGAACATGTGCTATTGGACCCACGATCCTAGTCACAGCTCTCGCCAACGACTCCAAGACCCTGCTTGATGCAAGCTCGAAGGTCATACTAGTTTCGTCGGAAAGCGGGAGTATTACGCTGAGACATGAGAAGGAAGGTGGTGGAAACTACGGACACCATGCTAGCAAGACGGCACTGAATATGTGCGGGAAACTGTTGAGCTTGGATTTGAAAGAAAGGGGTGTTGCGGTGGCTTGCGTGCATCCTGGGTTCATGCGGACGGAGATGACGAAGGGCGTGGGGTTCGATAAGTTTTGGGATGCTGGTAATGGTGAGTTTACCCATCCCTCATAGCTCGCGGACTATTGAATAGGGAATTGTAGCTGTGACTCCCGATGTTGCCGCGAAGTCGCTCATCGAGTGGATTCAAACCTTCGATATTTCGAAGACGGGGCAGTATTGGGCACCACGAGGAGCTGTGTAAGGCTTCTCTTCTCCAGCAATGTCATTGCTAACTGCTGCAGCGACATTGGTACTGCAGAGCCGGTGCTTGGCCCGAAAGAAAAGCTTCCTACACCTCTCCAATTACCATGGTAGCGAAGGCCTCTAATGATAACGAAGTTATGACCCACGACCAATACACAACGGACAGACTTTTTCTCTAAACACCTAACTGGCATTGTCATAATTGGTTCTACCTACATAAGCGTACTCGTGATCCCCGAAATGCCAAACTTGTGGTCACCTTTCCCTTTCAACCATTCATTTCTTTATTCATCCTTCACAACTTCAGTCTCTCTTCTTTGTCGCACAAGTTTCGATCACCTGACTCTCTCGTGTCATTCATCCTCGCTTCCTGGCCATAATCACTACCCCACCGGTACTCTCCTTCCACACCTTCGGAGCCCACTTCTCTGCATCTCCAAATCTACCAGCCTTCAATCCCGCAAACCCTGGGTTTTTGTTTTATCCTAGCCTCAAGTTGACGTTGATAACTTACATCGCGCACACGTGCAGCTTCACAGGGCGTGAGATAGAGCTACGAGGTCATATTAGCCCAAAATATTCTCATGTAAAGAGGTTCTAGGAGTCCAACTTACATAAATCTCGATTCCGGTGGCATGAATGGCAAGCGCTAACAAAACCACCATTCCGATCATGCTAGGTCGTACGAGAGCTTCCTACTCAATGTTCGATCCATCGTAGAATAATATTCAATCGGCGTAATAGGTCAGCGCTGCATTCCGAGACTTTTGGACGAACTCCAGCTGCGTGCAAGGCCTCGCCGCGAAACATCCGCCCTTCGAGGAAATGACGACTGCGGCAATGAAGACGATGAACTGTGCCGTGGTTATAGAGCTGGACTATGGTACCACATTAGTAAAGTCGTTGTAATGCATAATTCCGTCCGGGGCTCGGTCTACATGGAAGAAAGCACAAATAAATTACGAAAGGGATACAAATACGTACTTAAACTTCCACGCTGAACCCCGTTCACGAATACATCCTCAGTCTCCTCATCTCCGGCATGCAGAAGAAGAAGAAAATAATACAGGAAATTCGATCCCGCCCAAGTGTATCCGTATTTAGCACCCTCGCAACTCAGTGTCTCCGATTACCGATTATTATGGAGAACGTACAGGAACCACTTGCCCATCCAAGGTCCTGAGGGTTAATAAAGTACCCTAAACTCATCACATTCTCCACAATCCAAGCCTAGAGCCTCGTGCTCACAAGCTCTGTCGCAACAAGGTAACTCGCCGTTTTAACACACATATTGTACCTCCACCTGAATAGCGCCGTAGGACCTACTGAGCACCTCTGCATCGCTTTGGTCTCTGGAGCGACTGTCGCCACAACTGCTAAAGAAAGCTGCGAGAATCTGCAAATGCAGCCGCCGAGGATGAGGGTTGAGTGACGTCTAATATGTTTTTGTATGAGATACATACCTATGTTTACGCTAACAAAGCCGAGGCATGTGGCCATGATGCCGTATTTGAAGGCGTTGGAGGTGGAGAGACCCGAGGCGATCAGCATTTCAGTACCGTAGTTGATGACGAACCAGATTCCGGAGCCGGTTTGACGGGTGATCATGGCAAAACAGAGGAGGGTTCATCGAAGCTCGGTGCCTGGGGTTTTCAGTGTTGTAAGCAGACTAAAAGCGACGAACAAGATACCTGTGAACATATTTAGTGCACCAACTGTTGTAGCGTCTCGCTTCTCTTCTTCGATGCCCTTGACTATTTCTGCTCATTCTAACGCAACATATTCAGCGGGCACCGAGTTGCCTCGCAGAGTTTCCCGCGATTTACTTGCTTCTTCAATCCTTCCCTTTACCAGAAGGTAGCGAGGGCTTTCCGGGATGAAAAGTAGCCCCAACTGTGAGGATCAAAGGGACGATACATAGCGTACCAATCGGGATCTAATACGAAGATTTGTCGAGCCTTGTTTTAGTTGCATTTGTCACTGTAGCGCCAATGATGCTTCTAATTTTGACTCAATACGCAAAAAAAAGGCCACGATGACTCCTCGAGGATGAGCCAGGCTTTCGACCTGCAACAGCAGCCTAACTAAGACCGTATTGAAGGTTCGCTCTCGACACAACGTAGCATATTAGGAGGCATTTTCGATTCACCTAAAGCGAGGTTTGAAGCATCTGCCCGTCTGGCGCCATTTCCAACTTCTTCGGCTCCTAGACAAACTAATATAACGGCCAGGGTCCCTTCGGCAGCTTCGGGAGGCCTAGCTTGATATTGTAGAAAGTGGGAGGTGGAGATAGCAGGATTTTGATCTTTGGTCGTCATCCTTCCCCCGACCCCGGATTCTCGCATTTTAACATCGCATGGCCTCATTTGCGCTATTGCTCCAAATCTGGGACCCCTCAGTTTGTTCAGAGGTCTTGTATCCGCCAGCATTGGCGCTGCGATTGATAGCATATGCATATCCGTGTATGCGCAGAGCTAAGTCTGGAACAATGGTCACGACGTAGTACAAGGTTACTGGCATTATCATTGTCTCCGCGGTTCTGAAGGACATAGAGATGTTCGGCACAATTTCTCACGACCGGCTTCGCAGACCTGGTTGTAGGACATCTTAAGCTGTCGATACTAGTGATGGTGAAGGACAAGAGAGGGAAGTTTGGGGAATTTGGGGGGCTCTTTGCTTCGAAGAAAAGCTTTCTTTGCAGCTTGTGCATTCCAACCTACCTCATCCCAATTTCCGGGCTCTCTCCCGCTGGTGATCCTTCGTATGATCCTTCGAATCCTACGAATCTCCGGTGGTATAGTCGGACCCCACAACGCAGGAATGACGGTGTACTACCACGCAGCCGCGCACAAGGATTTTCAAGAGCGCCAGGCGCCCCTCATTGGCCCAGCTCGATAATCGCCTCAGAAAATGTGTTCGGATCCGAAGAATCCATGTCCTTCTGAGACAATATGGCTGGCTTATAAGATGCGCATGCCCATCCGAATGGAAAAAAATTTGCTCCGCATTTCTGGATCTCGAAGCTGCGTGATGTCGTTGGTTGCTATTCGAATACCACCCGAATGGCGTCGGTCAAGCTACAGTCGCTCACTGTTAGTATGTAAAACTGTAAACACTCGCCCTCTCAGGCAACTGTTAATAATATTGAATTAGGGCGTTGTATGGGCAGTCACGGCTATTGCTACTATATCACTCTTCGTTCGACTGTATAGTCGCTACAGTCGCTTCACCCGTTTTTACTGGGACGACCTCTTCGTAGTAGTTGCGTGGGCATTCTCTGTTCCGCTCGCCGTCCAATCCACCGTGTCCAGCTCAAAATCAGGAAATCCCAGCGCAAATTCTTTGTTGTTCACTAGTCGAATCTTTGGGCAGCTTTTCTTCTACACTTGTTTGTGGTGCATCAAGATCTCTTTCCTTATATTCTTTAGAAGAATTTCAGGGAATACATTGAGAGGGCTGCATATTTATTGGAAGGCGGTTGTCGGGTTCACGGTTCTTACGTATTTTGGGCTTTGGGCGATGAATCCATATGGATGCTTTAAGAATAAAGGGCCTCGAGCGTGTGAGGATGAACCTTATGTGCAACACTTGAAGCACATTACTTTTAATGTGGCTTGTGGGTTGGATATTCTCACAGACTGCCTTAGTAAGACTGCTTTTCTTAGGCCTGAAATGAAATGGAGCTAACAGAGAACAGTCATGGCGATGCCATTTGCGATTCTCAGGAATGTTAGATTATCCAAACGGCAGCGGCAGATCTTGTATCCGCTATTCTCGCTTTCTATCGTTACGATGACTATCGCCATAGTGCGTGCGGTTATAAGTACTCAGGGAATGAAGAACAATTTAGGTGTTACATGGATGTTGTTCCTTAATAATATCGAGGCGAGTATAGGTATGATAACGCCCTGTCCCTGATAGAAGAACAGCATACTTTTCTTTGTTGATATGGCTGCTAATACACTACAAAGCTATTATCATCGCGTGCATTGGATCCTTACGCGCACTCTTTACCCAAGACGACCGGGCATCAAGGCCAACCGGAAGATCTAGGATATCTTCTCCCAGGAGATATCTCCCTCGATGCGAGTCGGAGGAAGCACTTCATTCTACTGATTTACAATATATCTCTCCGGGTTCTGCAACCAAGAAGGCAATCTGCGATTTCCACACCACCTGTCCTGAAGCACTCACTCCACAGAAAGCGTATATACGAGACGAACCGGCTGATGTGGGACATCTTCTCAAAAATGTTTCTTCTTGATAATGGTTGCTGAAGACATGCTTTCAGATTCTCTTCGCCGACTCGCTGAGTAATGCAATATCTAATTCTCTTTTCAAGTCGGCAGGCAGGCCTTCTACACGTCTTCTTCGCAAGTTTCCTCTACTTACTCCAACATATTGGGACCAGACACCAACTAAAGCAAGCCATCACGTCCCTCTAGATGCTATTTCTCTAGGCCCGGGAAGAGAATTGTAGAATCGATCAACTTGCTTTAAATCATCCAGCTCCCCAATAGTACGCCGAACGAGATTCGATCCCTTGAACTCCCCAGCTATCGAATTTACTAAGGCGATACGATCCGCGCAACCCATTTTATCAATTTCGTTCTAACATTGCTCAAGTCCTTCGAAGTTGGCTACAAGATATGTCAATCTGGGGAAAAGTGCGTCTTTCGTAAGATATATATTGACGCGCCAATTAAATATTGCTATATACACAGGAAGGAGGGCTAACCCTTGATGAGATAGGCGCTATAGTTTCGAAAGGTTCATACATACCCAGTATTTTCCAAAAAGCTAGAGTTATTGGCTTAAAAGTTGTCATTTTAAGAGGCAAAAACTCGCAGAATATGGCAGCCTCTCAACCAACCCAACGTAGGTTTACGAGGAGAGTCTAAAATGTACCTTGGAAGGCCTCGAAAAGTTCTAGTATATCACCCGAACTCTGATATCATACTAATAGAAGCGGAATGAGAGCTTTGAAGCTAATGGGATATGAGGGATTCGTGAGGAACATTGGATCACGTGATAGAAGTATAATTCTCTCTGTCGAGGCTCCAAGAAACCGCCTTCCGGTCTTCGCTATTTAGGAATTGTTTTTCGTGACCTTATAGCGGTGATGATCTTTCTATGCTAAAGTTTTCATGCAACAAGAACCTTAAACTCGATAGTACGAGACGGATTCTTGCACCAACAAACAACCAATCCGCCATATTTACCCCCATATTTCCGTCCCCCTAGCTTCTATAATCGCTTTCACTATTCAATCCACACTACGACCAAACAGAATTTCAAACCGCCCCATCAGCTGCGTCACAGCTAACACTGTCTCGTTCTAACCGCTATGTAGATCTTTCTGCGTCTTCGCCAAGTTTTACTGATCTTGACCGTAGAGCTTTCTTGCATAGTCGGTCATCTCAGCATCAGAGTCCTATCTTCCACCAGCAGCGAAGTGGAGTGCAAAAAGAGCGATTCGAACTGCACCGTATTGAACATGAAGGTTGTTCACATTGCTAGCCATCGAATTGTGGTTAGGAGTACGAGCAGATTATCCTTCCTTTCCAGGAAGAAAGTGGCTAGTCCCGATTAGGAAGGATAACGGGCTTTGCTTGGAAGGTCTTGGCAGCGCCAATCATACTTGGAGGGAAAAACCACGCAGCAGAAGTGATTTTAACACCCCTAACCGCGTTGTCTTCAATCACAATAGGGAAAAAAGAAGGCCAGATCAAGCATGCAGCAGAGCAGAATGATTACTTAAAGCTTAAAAACGTAGAACAACAAAGCTTTTTGGTTATTTAATTTTCTACCAATCAGATCAATACCGTAGCTTGGCATCTGACGCACGGTTTCACCTGGCGCACACTCGCTTCGGAAAATTCAAAATTTCAACATAACTCTAACTCCACTAATATAGACCTAATTTTAGCTGCGTTAACAGCGCTAGAATTGCTAAAGCTAGGCAAAAAACCTAATATTACTTAGACAGTAAAAAAGTTTAGTGTTACTTAATTAATGTTATTAAAATAATTTTATAAGGTCTAGTAAAGTTATATAAAGTAATATAAAAATTAAAGACTTTTTAATGCGCAGTAAGAGAAGGAGCTAGTATAATACATTAATAGGCTCTGCAAGTAAGGCCTACCCCTTATAAGACAAATGCTACGCAATTTTACTATAGAAATAAGCAGAAACTCTGCTAGCAGGTTATAGCCTAACTAGTTCCTTAAGCGTTACAAAGTTAAGCTAGTATCTAAGTAGACAACTAGTATAAATAAAGAAAAAAAAAGAGCTAACTCTACCTTTAAATATGCACTATATTTTAAGCTTTTAAAGCGTAAGATTAAGCAGTATAATATTAAGTCTTAAGACATGTACAACATAGATAAAAAAAGCTTTCTAATTAAAGTCCTTTTAAAAACAAAAAGAATTTTCTCTTAAAAAAAGTATAAAGAAGAAAAGATTAAGTAAATAGTATAAAACAGCAATTATAAATAGATTATAACTATTATATGCATATGCGCAGATAGAACTGCCTTATCTCTAGGCCTTATCTACTAAGCTGTTACAGGTAACATCTAAAACACTTAGCTATAAGATTTTAACTTTAAAATTTATAAAGCTTTCTTTACTTTATCTTTAAGTAGATAGATAAATAATAACTTAGGCTTTTAATAAGTTAAAACTATTTTTAATTAATAAATAAAAAATAAGGCTTAAAGGTGTTACTAACTACTTATTTTTAATAGCTATAGATCTTATATAACTATAAAGTTTATTTAATTTTGTAATAATAATAAGATCTTTTTAGTAGTCTACTCTTCTTACTTAACTTACACGCTTTAGCCTCTAGACGTTACTATGTTCTAGCCTCTCTCTCTAGCGTACAGTAAGGAGGTAGCAAAGTTTATAAAGAAATCTTAAGCCTTCTTAGCTATAACTAAAAGAGACTTCTTTGCTATGTTTAATGCTACATAAAAGAAGTCTTTTACAGAGAAAAATATACTCTTAGGCTTTAAAAGCTATAAATTACACTTATTTAATGTAGAGGTTATTTTAGCTTAATTTACTAGCACTAGCACTAGTAGTAACAGCAGCAATAATAAGAGACCTTTTTTTAGTAAGAGTTTAAAGTTAGTTCTTATATTTAAAGATTAAAAAAAGATTGCTAAGCTGTTATAAGCAGCTATTAATAACATGCACAACTTAGAAACATGTTAGCTCTCTTAAACACTTTACTTACTCTTAACTTAAAATATTCTCTTAAAACTAGAGGTTTAAGGCCTAAAAAAGGCTTTAGTAAATAAGAAGAAGTGTTATTAAAAAAGTAAAGCTTTATAGCTTAAACTACTACTAAACTTTAATAAAAAAGCTATATTTTAAAGCCTAAATAAGGTCTAACAAGCTTATAAATATTAAGCTTAAAAAGAAAAGAAAGTAAAAGTAAAGAGACTTTAAAAGTAAAAAAAAGTAAAGCGTAAAGCTAAATAAAAAAAAAAAAAAAAGAGAGTTATAAAAAAAAAAAGTGTATAAAAGTAATAGCTAAAGAAATTAGACTGTAAGAGGTAGCTTATAAAAAGTGTTAAAAAAAGGACAACAAACTAGCTAAACAAGCTGCTGTATAACTCTAAACTAACATTAAAGCAGCTAAGGAGGCTTTAAAAAGACAGAAACAGCCTATAGTTAGGCATTAGAATGTTAGCATTAAGGATGAATTAATTGTGGAGTTAGTAGAGGCGCCCCAGTCGACGAATCAACGGGGTAGGCAAATCAAGCTTCCTACTAGGTATTTGACTTAGAAAACACAATAGACTTTTTCGCGCGACTGAGTTTACTATTACTCTCAAAAATCTCGCGATTTGACTACTAGTGTAGGCCTCAAAAGCTTCATTTGATGATGAGGTTGTTCGGGGAAAACCGTGCGTCAGGTGAAACCGTGCGTCAGATGCCAAGCTACGGTAACCGGCTTATATCCAGACCAATAGGAGAGAGGGCTTGGCGGTAGAGATAGTGTATTATTTGATGATTGATGCATTTACACTGGCGGATGCGTGGCCCGGCAAATACATCACCTTAAACAGGTCGATACATTGTAAACCAGATGTCGAGCGAGCGAGGTATCTATGCAAAACCCATTACACAACCCAGTTCTTGAATCACCGACATCTTTCGATACCAGTGTACGTATCCCGCCGCCTGGTAGATTTTATGCCGAATGTCGACGACTTCAGTCCCAGGATGCATACTCACGAACACTCTCTTCCTCACATAATCCCCAGAAACCACTTCCTTCTCCCCACACGGTCCGCACTCCTGCTTTTTCAAACCATACCCTATATTTTTCCTCCTAAACGTCTTCCATCCTTCAACCGACCTGGAACTCCAACCATCCTCCAGCCGTCTAATCCTCCTGCTCTTTAATCCACTTAGCAACATCGTGTGCGCTTTGACATTTCGAAACCTACCGCCTTGCCACATGCACTAAACCAACAATACCGCCCGAAGCATATGCATGATATGAATTCGAAGTGCCATAAAATCTAAACAGTACACTATGCCTCTAGAGTCGTTCACACTGAAAGTGAGCAGCCGGAGGATTAGTTCGTCCTTCCGATCAAATATAAATCTATCCGGTTTATACAGGCCGATCTACGCTAGCCAGGCTATTTCAGGGGCAAATTGCGAGGGAAGGCCATAGTAACACTATAAGATTTTGGAGCGTGCACTCCCATTTCCACATAGTCGAGTTCGCTCATTGCACAGTGGAGATGGTATTGGGGATAGCTATTATGAAAGGATCTTCGTTTGGTTCGAGATAGTGCAATTTATAGGGTTAAGTCTACTCATTGCGTATATAAAAGCCATGATGGTTGCATAGGTGTGATGGGTGTACGTAGATATTTTAGATTCCCCAATTAGGATTAAAATTGCGAGTTTTTAAGCTCAAGACTTGAATACTACGAGCGCATATCGTATCATTGAACTCCGCTGTTCTATTTTACCACCGTTTCTACGGAAGCGGTTTGT